GCCGCCGGCTCCGGTCCCGGCGCTGCCCCCGCTCCCCGGCGTTTTGGCAAGGGCAGGGCTGAACCCCCCCGCCCCGTGCCGCTCGCAGCCACCCCACTGTATCCGGGCGTTGTGCATCCCCCAGGTCGGTCGGCCCTCGGGCAGGGGAAGCCACGGTGGCTTTGCAGGGCGAGCGATGCTGGGAGCCGGCGGTGTTTCTCCCTGAGCCTCAGCCCGAACCCCGGGCAGCCGAGCGAGGCAAAACCGCATGGCCTCGCCTTCCCCTCACCGTCCGTCGATACTCATTTTTAATACTAAAATGTCGCCGTTTGCAACGCAAACGCCTCAGTGTTGCAAACAAAGCTTAAGAGGGAAATTACTCAGTCAGCGTCGCTGCGCCCTGTCCTCGTGTCAGGTAGCTGGAGCCTTTCCACGGCATTAAAGGATAATACCTCACACCTGGGGCTGCCATGAGGGACAAGAGTGTGTTTTTACGCTTCAGTCTCCCCATGTTTTCTAGATGCAATTTTCCAAACGATACTGTCGTCTACATAAGGTAAACATATAATAAAAGATGAAAATTGTATGGGGATCTCCCTGGACACAATTATTAGGCCCTCATGACATTATTTAGGTGCTCCAGAAGCATCTGGGACTGAGAGGAAATTGCACGGACACATGCAAACTAACTTAGGAACCGACCAGCATTTTCAGATCACAGAGTGGCATGCTGGGAAAAAAATATAATGTATTCCTCCTAAATACTAATTGCATGCACTGGGTCTTGGTCCATAATTGGAATGTGAGCAATGTGTTCATATAAAATGTAGCAATTTCTGTACTTATGTAAGTAGCTGTTATCTAAAAATTACATAGCTTACTACTGTGTTAAGTTTATGACTTCTTCCTGGCATTGCCTGGACACACAGTACCTGCAGAAGGAACCTGCTGGGTTTCTGAATGCATCAGGTACATCCCAGCATTTCTGTGACTTTGGAGGAATGTTAATGGCATGACAGCAGGCTCTGCAGCAGACTGGTGGGGAGGAAGGATGAGCAGTGCTGACTACATTAGGGTCACTTTGCAAACATCTAAAATAATTTTGCAGATGAAATACCCTTATATTAAGAAGGATATGAAGATGGAATGAGTGAAACTTGGTTTTCTGAGTGTTTGGCTTGTAAGTATTCAATTATTTTTCATCTGTAAATAATAAATGTGGCTGCAAGTCTGCGCTTTCCTCTGAGCCTTTTCTTCAAGCAGGACACTGGGTCTGTGCCATGGCCTTCTAATGCCCAAATTCATTATCTGGTCTGCTCTGATCACATTTACCATGCCCCTTGGTGTTTATCCTTGGGGTTAGCACCTGTTAATGCTGTGGTTGCATCTATTTGTCAGGAGCTAATAGTCATAAATGGCCTCTCCGGGGCAGCCAGGAGAGCTGGTTAGGGCTTTTCTGTGGGATGCTCAGATTGCAGGTGCAATTCCAAGGGATGAGCCCAATTTATGGACTTTAGCTGCCATCCTTTCTGCTGAGTGCCCCCACTGGGTGTACTTTCCATTATGGAGAATGGCAGGGGTCAGCTATCAGGATGGGGTACTACAGGGTTGGTACTTGGCCATGAATCATATCTAATTCTCTAGTGGATCAACACCTTTGAGCAAAAAACCTATTTAATAAGAAATTCTCAACTGCCAGGCTCTTAACTCCTTGGCACTGGGAAATGTGAGGATGACTGGAGACTTCTTCACTGTGGCAAAGATACCCAGTAACTAAGGTTAACACAAAATGAAATTCACATTGGAAATAAACTGTGGATTTTTAACATTTAATTAACTATTCAGACAGATTGCCAGGAGGTGTAGCAGAATTTTTTTTCATTGCTTTTAAGTTTTTAAATGAGGACTGGTTGTCTTTATAGAAGATATACTCTAATCCAAATGTAAATTGTTGGGATCAATGCAAGAATTACTGAATGAACTTCTCTGGCCCTTGCTATGCTGCATGTCAGACTAGATGATGCTAACAATCACTTCTGGCCATAAAAATGTATGAGCAGTAGAAAATTATAAGTTTGAGAAGAATAAAATGATATGAAATTAACTCCATAACAGAAATATTTTTGCAACATAAACTCTTCTTTAACATCCCTTGCATTATTTCACACCCTCACTGAAAGCAGCACAGATTTACAGTTGTTAATGTTCACATTAAACAGTTGAGAAACTTAAATAGGGAAAAATTAATGTAGCTCAACAGAAAGGGGGCCGACCCCCAAAGAAAGGTCTGTCTGACCTGCTAATTTGCTACTCAGTTTCCTTATGGAGGAACAACTTCCTGCAGCCATTGCTTGTACTTGTCTGACTCCATTTTTAGAAATACCCCCATTTAAGATACAGTATAATTGAATAAGTGATTGACTTTAGCTAATAGGTAATTGAATAGGCAATCTTTCTTGATAAATGAATGGTATTTGTATTTAACCCTCTCAGACAACAGTCTCTCAAGAGCTCAGAGTAGGTTTTCAACCTCTCTGTATCATCCCAATGATCCTGTGAACAACCCCTAACTTCAACAGAAACACAGTTAGCTACTGGGACCTTACATTTAGTAGGCACATTCAAAAATCTCTGTAAGTGAGTGGGAGGTGGAGGATAGGATGAATGTAATTCCTGTGTGACTACCTAAACTGCCAGCTCCATGTAGACACACGTCCAGTGATGTGAGTAAAAACATAATTCATACTACGAACCAGCTTCTTCCTTATTTTTTTTTCTGAGAATATTCAAAGAGAGGAATGAAAATGAAAGCAAAAAGTCAAATCAGTTGGAGAAGCCTATTTTTTTTTTATATAAAAAGAAGGTGTGAAGGCCCCATATCACTAATATTTTTCTTGTCCTCTCTCCAACATAATTCTTGAGGAAGGACTTGATCTGCCTGGAGTTGAATCATGTTGTGTGGTTTTGCTTTATTTTGAAAGGTGGAAATTTTTGAGTTGCCTGTTTCTGTTTTGAATGTGATGAAACAATAAATTCTGGTTTTGACACATTTGAAATTTTCAATACTTTCTTCCTTAGCATAACAGAGACTTGGCTTAAGTTCCTTCCTCTCTGAGACATTTTCAGTGAGAAACTGTCTGGGCTGCTCACTCCTTAACAAGGAAAAAGACAGCCCTATTTTTCAAAACTTTCCCACAGTAAAAAAGACAGAAAAGAACTTCCTATCCTAGATCCTATCCTGTATGTGGTTCATCTGGCCATTATCAGCTGCTACCTCATTAGGATGAGGTAATTTGTAATTTGAAGAAATTTTTCTATAAGGGCTATAGATTATGAGCTTTTCTTTACATGTCTACATTGTATTTACCTGGTGTTGGCCATTGACCATTAATTAGGAATAAACATGAAAGAATAGAAGAGAGAACAGGAGGTAATATTTTCCAAAAATACTTAATAAGGAAAAACCCAAATGCTTGAAGAGCAGAAGTGGTCTGTGGATTCATAGAAAAGGTAGAATAGTAAAGAGAAGGCAGAAGGAACATACAGAGGGCAGAGAAGAGAAAAATTATCTCTTTCCCTTTATTGGGGCCCAGATGGGAAAACACAGGTGGCCATGTATTTTCTTGTAGCTGCAATAGTTGAAGTCTGATCAAATGAGGAAGGTGACCACTGGTTTTCAACAGAATTTAGCCCAGTGGTAGGGCTTGGAAAACTTATGAATGTTGAAATCTTCTTAATACATCGTTGCTCAGCTGAGTGCTTCTCTCTAATACTGCTCAAGCATCCTGTAATGTAACAAGCATTCATAGCATCCAGCATGTTACATAGTACTCTTTACTTTGCCCTGTTTTTCTCTGGGAAACAGCCTGTGTTTGTGTACAACATGGGAGAGTATGAGGAGAGATGGGTACCATCACAGCAAAATATCAGGAGGTAAACTACCTCTCTCCCTCTGCCTCCCCCAAATTCAGCCTGAAGCTGCAGCCTGGCCTATCTCTACTCAGCAACCCCAGAGTCAGAGTCAGGGTGGGTACATCTGCTCTAGTGGCTTGGGATAGCACTGGGAGCATTCCTGACACTGGAGCTTGATTGTGCTGTTAAATTTAGAATGTGGTCCCTGGCACAGTTCTGACCTAGGATAGCTAACATTCTCTTATACAGTTTTAGACACATTCATTGCTTTCAGATCCAAGTGCCCTTTAACCATCAATCAGCTGAGAATGGTTTCTCTCCAAGTTTTTCAGAGATTTGCATATCTAGGCTGTGTCTAGTGTCTCCTTGAAGGTTGCTGTAACAACTGTGCTTTCTTTTTTGTCTCACAGACTTTCAAATCTCCCCAGAATCAGAACAAATTCCTCAGCCTTGGAAGCACCCCTTTGTTTGGACTGTCGCACATATTGTCAGTGTGTGGCTATTGATTCAACAACTCAGTGGACAAAAGGACCATTCTGGATTCTTATACTTGCCTTTAAATGAAAGTTGTCAATTAGCCCCTTCAGTTTCAAAGGGGTTTAAGCTGACCAAACAATCTGACACTTATTTGTTCACACAAAGGGGAAGAAATCAGAAGAAGTAAATATTGCATATTAAGTCTCCTTGTCTATGAAATCCAAAGAGTTGCCAAAATCTCTGATACTGTCTAAACTCTTCATTCCAGGATCAAAAGTGTGTATTCATGCCACCATTGTCTCAGCTGCAATTGAACACTGCAATGACTTTTAATCTGCTTTCTTTCTTCCCTCTCTTGTTCCTTGACCCTGGACCTGCCAAAATCACTTACTTTACTGCTCTGATTGTATAGTTCAACTCTTTGAATCCCTCCTCTAATTCCACTTGGCTTATTTATTTCCTATTCTGTAGTTATTTCCCTTACTTTTTCAGCCAAAGGAACATCTTGGTCTTCTCTTATCATAACCTCTTAAACCTTATATTGCCCTGTTGGATCCTGTTCCAGCGTCATGTATGGCTATAGAAGGATTCTGTATTTAGCTGGGAACTGGAATTAGTCCTTTACCCACCTGCATTACATCTTCTAAATATCCATATGTGAGTTTTTTTTGTTACTTGCACCAACACATGGAATATAATTTTTACCCAGGCAAGGCATTTTTAGTACATTGGAGTTCCCTACATTTTATAGAACGGATTCAAACCTCCAGAGCCTGTCTGTGATACAAGGGATGATACTAGGAATGAACAAGAAGCATTTCTGAAAACTGCCAGATTGACTGGAAAACCAGGTAGACCAAGGTGGTCAAGAAAGCAGCCTGGCTTTAGGTCCTGTGTTTAATGGTGGTCAAGCCTGGAACCATCTCATAGGATCATAGAACCATTTAGATTGGATAAAAACTTCAGTATCATTGAGTCCAACTCCAAAGCTAACACTGACAGGCCCACCACTTAGCCATGCCCCAAAGCACCACCTCTCTGATATATCCCTTAGTGCCACATCTATATGTTTTTTAAGCACCTCCGGAGATGGTGGCTGAAAAGACCCTCAATAAATCATTTCTCTTTATGGCTCTCTAGGGACCTCCTCTAAGACTGTGAAAGACCATTTTCCAAATCTACATTCTCCCTGATTTCTATATGAGATTTCAACCCACATCTACAGCTCAGGAAATGTCTAAACTCCCAAGTTATATCTGTTTTTGATGTGTGTTTCTCTTTCTGCTCTGCTGAAGACCTACAACAGCTGTACCATCAAATTCAACTGTATGGAAGGACAGACCAGCTTAGGTGAGATCAGGCTTTGAGGCAGAGGAACTCCTAGAACAGATCAGTGTTTTTTTAGCAAAACAGTTTTTGGCATGAAAACACACTGGTTTGTTAACTGTTTTCTTGTAAAAGCTGAATCTACCTGAGTGTGGTTACTGGTTCAGACACTGGTGAACCTAATATGTTATTTTGTACCTAATGTATTATTTTGTGTACTGCTCCGTGTCCTAGCCACCTCTCTTTCTCTACAAGTTTTCTTAAATTCTTCCTTGTATTTTTCTTTTGATTACAAAATTATTAGCCAATACTGAGAGGCAGTGTGTGTATGTCTTGCATATTTTTCTTTGTTAAAAAAAAAAATAATTTATTTTTGTATTACCGAGAATAGTGTAATAACTTTCCCCTTTGTTGTGGAATACGGGGCATGTTTTTAGCCAACTCTGTTTAATGTCTCTTCCAATAATCTGTCTCAGGTGCAGATTTTCTTGTAAAAATAAGTCCCTAGTCACTTTCTAGTTCTTTAAATATATAATGACATTCCCTAATCTGTTATGAAATATATGAACTTCTCAGGCACGTTTCCTATTACCCAGGAAGAAAAGATGGAAGGTTCCAGTCTACAGCTCTCGAGTCCTACTATGTCAGTTTCTGAAAGGGCTCCTGGTTTTGTGTGTCCTCCCAGGAGGTGTGGCTGAACAGACAAGGATCTCATCTAGTCTCATCTCCCAGTGACCTGTCACAAACCAGAGGCAGCCCTAAATACCTTAGAGGCAAGGTACAAGGAAACCTGTGTCAGATATGTCTAAATTATCTGGCTCTTGAAGAAAGACTCCTTCCACCCTGTCATTATTAAAAAAGGAAAGAAAACAAAACACAGAAAACTGAAAAGCCCAAACAAACAAAAATGGAAGCTTTCAAGAAGGAAGGTAAGGAGTTTTTCTCTGAAATTTCTGCCTTTTAAATGTTTTGAGCATTTCTCAGTTCAAAGAGGTGCCTCATCCTCTGCAGAGTCCTGTTGGATTCACTGTGTCATGTGGTTTGTTTTTCACATGTTAATTATGTGAAAGCGTGTCTCTTTTTGTATGAATTTTCAATCTTCTATGCTTAAATTTTTTGGAATATCTGTACTTGCATTATGATAAAAGAGGGGGGGTAAAAGTGCCACATGTATCTTTTCTATCACACTCCTTATCCTTTGCATTCGATCATTTCCTCTTTTATTCATTTCATCACATCTCTTAGGTAAACAGTCCAATTCTGTTCCATTTTGTTTCATTTCTGAGATTTTCCACATCCCTAATTATTCTCATCACCCATCTTTGAACTCTCTATGAACATCCTCTATGCTATATCCTTTTTTGACATTTTAGGTGCAAATTGTTGTAGGTGCAATTTAGATCACTTAAATGTCCAAGTCCCTGACTTATGGATGCAATCAGGGACTCAGACATCTAAGTAACTAGATTGCAGACTCAAATAATTACATTGCAAAATGTGCCTGCAAGTTTTGTGCCCGTGAGAAATGGCTAAAGCCAGACTAAAGATCAGAGCCTTAATCACAAGCAAAATATCCCCCTCACCCTTTAAAGGAGAAAAGACCCCTTCCATTTGAACGAGATACTAACACAGAAAAAAGTCAATTACATACAGAGCTATATGGTAAGTGTAATAATGAATGGAATAATAGATCAGAACAATGTGGAACAGCATAATACTAATACTAATATAATACTAATACTAATACTAATACTAATACTGAGAACCTTATTGGGAGAGAAGACCACAGTGTGCACTGAGCTTCCATGATATGACAGTGTTTGTCATTTGCATGTTTCTGCCTTTAAAAATGAGACTTAAGATGGTTTACTTTGTGGCATTGAAATATTTCTATTATTAATCTACAGGAAGAAGGTCTAAGACACTTTGCCCATGTCCATGATCCAGTATTCTAGAAAATTCAGAATAAGATTCATAGAATATTATTGAAAAATATTTTGAACAAGGTTTTGTCATTCCTTCTCTTTATGAATTAAATATTTTTCTATGATGAGGTTTCAGCAGACTGCAAAGTTGAGGTCATGCTGTTTAATGATGGAGCTGGTGGACAGATTGGAATGAGAGCTGTATTTTTTTGAAAGAAAAGAATTATTTGAACTTAATCTTTATTTCTTAGATTTTCTGTATTTACTGGATCAAAGTTTCATTTTCAGCTGAAAAAATACAACTCCTCTTTCAAAAAAAAATGAAGTGTCTATGCTTTTCTGCTGTTTATTCTGAAATGAAAAAAACCTGTTTGTCTTCAAAAACCAAAGATTTGGATAACTCCAGGTAATAGAATACTCTGTTTTGGAAAATGTTCTGTTCCATTCCTTTTCATTAAACTTTTTGAAAAAGAAATTAAAAGATAAAAAATAAGAGTACATACATACTTAGAGTAGGGACTATGTTTAGAATTAGACTTAGTGATAAACTTTGATTTTAATCCATAAATATAGAAAAAATTCAAAATATTCTGGACCTATAATGCTATTTTCTTTGTGGACTATCAGCACTGGAAGAGGAGAGAAAAATTGGCAGGGTGAATTTATAATAGTGTCTGCACAATTTCAGCTAACTTTTTCCTCCTGTCTTCTCAAAGTCTGTTTTAATTTCTTATGTATTTCAGCCCTGTGTTTACTCCACTTCCATCCTGTGCCTCCTTTGTTCTGTGAGTCAGAATTCCCAACTAATGGATTTTGGTCATCTTATGAGGCTGAGATTGGGTAGATATTATTGACAAACCATATTATGGACAAGGCAAAAATAAGTTGATTTCCAGTATAAAAAAATTTGAAATCTCATTAAGCCTGCCTATAATACAAGAAATTTCTTTCCAAAAGGGAGATTATATCCTCAAGAATATTTTTCTTAAATCCTGTACTATTTACTAATGGGTCCACATTTCAGATAACTGTGAAGAATAATTTATCCTCAACTGTGTGCTTCTTGTTACACACATAAGAGAATTTATGCATGAAGGAATCACTGATGTTTAATTAAATGGGCCATATTAAGTCCCTCAGAATAAGAATTATATCTAGAATAGCTTAAATAATTAATCAGCTCTCAACTAGAAATCCTATTTGGTTAGGCACCCATGATCCTATCTTCTTCTCACTGAAGACAGTGAGAAAACTCCAAGTAATTTTAAAGAAAGAAGAAATAAATTCAGTGCATATGTGTCAGATTTATGAAATTAAAGAAAATAAGCTTGAAAGAAAGAAAGAAAAACTGCACAGAAATTTTTGGGTGCACCTTCCGAGAACAATACATCTCTGGAATTAAGCTTAATTTCTTAGCTAGACTAACTGGTATATCTTTGAACTTAGGCAAAAGTAGAAGAAACTGTGAAACAGAAGTTGATGCAACAGCCTCCAATACTTGCACCTGGTGCTTGTTCTTCCTTGATCCAGCATTTCTCCCTACTCAGAGGTCTGGTGGTTTAAGCTAGACTGTGTGACTGTCTAATGGTGAGACAATGGATACAAAGACTTCTTCTTTTCCATGGGTGGAGCAAAACAGGGGAGAGGCATCGTTATTGTCACAAAATCAGGACCCAGCAACTTGGCAGTAGCAAGCAGTAGCCTTAGCAATCATGTGCAAATTGAAATGGGTGCAGCTGTGTGGGTGCTTCTCCTGTGCTCTGTTCCTCTTCAAACACATCTAATGTGGCCTGTGACTTCCATGACCTAGCACAGATTTTTCTGCATACACAGCCTAGAAATAAAGGTCTAGAATAGGCCAGAATAAGCTTTTCAGTGCATTCTTGCCTTTGACCATAAAGTAGCTAAGAAGGGAAATTTACATTGTAGCCTTCTAAAATTCTTCGTGGTTATTTCCCTCCTACCTCATTTTCCTCCCTGAGGAAGAAACCTCTGTGGGCAGAGCTGTGTGGAAAGCAGAGTTAGAATTATTTCTCCAGAATATTAGTGCAATTTAACATGCAACTGCTTTTCTAACAAATCTCAAAAGATTTGTTATAAATATTATTATATTTATCACAATATATATTATATTTATAACAATATATATTAACATATACCTATTTATTATATGTTATAAAAGAATTCATATTATATTGATTATTTTATACCTTAACTCTACCATTTAAAATTATTTTAAATATAATTTCTTTGTGTTCCTCATCCAGAAAAGCATCTTATAATTTCTTTGGGTTATGCTTTGTTTTGGTTTGTTTTATTTTGTTTTGTTTATATATTACAGAGGCAAGATGCCTAACAGCTTGAGGCTTTTACGAAGTCTAGGACTCCCCGAGTTGATCTTTTCTCATCTCTTCTCTTTGAAGTGGAACATTTTTGTTCTTAGTCTTCCTCTTTTTTCCTTCCTCTCCTTCTTGCTGTTTAATATTTGCAGGCTTTTCAAGGTCAGCTTTTCCTCTCTCTGTTCACCTTGTCCTGCTCACCACTGCATGGTGTCAATTGGTGACCTGGCACCTCACCAGGCTCTTTGGTCCTTGCCCACCATTTGCTGTGAAAGGACAAGATCATATGAAATGTTTGCCTAGTTCTCGCTTTGCAAAGGTTTCATGGCCATTCAGATGGCAGTGAAAACTTCATAGTAATCTGTTTGGTTACAAAACCATCATAACCATTCATCGCTGCTCTAAGAAATAATTATATTAGGCAAATTCTTTAGAAGACTTTTAAGCTTCACCAATCCTCAAGGATGGAAGAACCTTGAATGTTCATAATATTTCAATTTGTCTTGTATTTATTAAGTTTTCTTGTGAAAACTCCCAGAACCCTTAACAGCAGAACACTGCAAAGTTGCAGTAATACCAGAAGATCTGGGTCCTGAGTTTTCATGAGTTTTAGTGTGAGCGTATGAGAGACTGCTGTGGTTGCTCACCTTTGTGCACTGACCAAGCTTTGAAAGCCTGGTCCTGTCCAGACAAGGTGTGAGCCTCTGCTTGATTCCTCTCCCTTCAGGTGACAATTGGCTCTAGACTCCCTTTGTATGCAGAGGCAGGAGGGAGGCAACATGAAGGGTGACAAATCATTTAAACCCCTCTCTTCACTGATGCTATGCAGACAAGAGTAGCCATTGCCTAACTTGTACCGGTATGGTGGGATGGATATTTTGACCTCCAAAATAATTTGGTTTTTTTTTTGCCTGGCTTTGCAAGGAAGTGGCAATGAGACAGTTTCCTCCCTCCTGTGCTTTTTCTCAGCCCAAGGGGGCTCTGTTGCATGCGGGATATGTTATGACAGTCCTGTAACCATCCCAGCCTTCTGGGTCTGGCCCTTTGGGCTTAGACCTCTTTCATCGTAACGTGGTTTTCTGCTGCACCTGGGGCTGGCTGTCATTTTACAGAACAGCAGATTGCAAGGATTGTTGCTTCCTCCTCTCTGCTGCTGGCAGTAGTTTGATTTTCTCAGTTTTAGAGGGCTCCAGGCAAGTGCTGCAATCCTCTTCCTTCTCTAGGGACCTCCTTCAGTAATAACCCCGGTCTGACTGAACCTATTAGGGATTTTTCATGGAGAAATATTTAAACAGTAGGTCCTGTTTAAATATCAGGGGTAGGCATGAAGGAAGCCCTGATTGGATTGAGGCTGTTGTAGGTGTGCAGTTTCTTCTTTTGTTGCTATGAAAAGGAAAGTCAGTGATGGAATATAGGTGCTCTGAGATGCAGGCATTGGCAGAGTAGAATTTCATACTAGACCAACTACTGAAATTTTGTTGGCATTTTAAGCACCACAAGGTTGAATTAATTCTACAAAGGAAGGGTTTGGTCTGACTTGCTTACGGTGAACTCATTTCTGCTCCACAGAACCTATTTTGCCTGAAACATTCTTGTTTAAATAGAGTAATATTTTAATCTTGTGCTTTGGGTCCTTTTAAACCTGATTCTATTTTGTGCTTCTAT